TGAACTAGACAAACTAATCCAACAGGGAATCCTAGAACCTGTTGATTCCAGCCCGTGGGAGACCCCATTGTCACGCCTCTAAAGGCAAATGGGGACATTTCGCATGTGTGTGATTACAAATGGCACATCATAAGCATTGCAGCAACATGGCCTATCCTGTTCCTGTGGTCAGTCACATCCTGGCTCTCCAAGGTGGGGGCGTGTTTTTGCAAAGCTTGAACAGCTCAAGCATATCAACAGCGCCTGTTGATGATGATGCTGCCAAGCTCAGACCATTGTGACCCACAGGGGAGCCTTTAAGGTAAAAAGGCTGCAGTTTGGAGTGAATGTCGCTCCTGGGATTTTCCAAAGCGTAATGGAAAACACACTACGAGGTATACCAGGGGTCTGCCCTACTTTGACGATGTCTTGATTGCAGGAGACTCCACACACATTCTAGCTGAAAGACTTAGGGCTGTCCTGTTAAGATTCAGGGAATCAGGCCTCAAGCTAAGAAAAGACAAATGCAAGATCGGGGTGCCTTCTACTGAATTTCTGGGATTCAAAATTGATGCTGCTGGGATTCATCCTGCTGAATCCAAACTAACTGCTATTTTACAAGCACCCAGGCCAAAGTCTAAGGCCGAACTTCAGGCCTTCCTAGGCATCCTGAATTTCTACAATTCTTTTCTTCCACATAAAGCTAGTGTAGCTGAGCCTCTTCACAGGCTACTAGACAAACAAGCTGTGTGGCTGTGGTCACAAGCACATGAGGATTGCTTTAAAGAAGTCAAGGCCTTGCTCACTTCTAACAGTGTTCTTGCACATTTCAACGCGTCTCTTCCTGTGTGCATCGCTTGTGATGCGTCCCCCTACGGGGTTGGAGCTGTCCTGAGTCACCTCAGGTCTGATGGAACTCAGGTTCCTATTGCATACTACTCCAGAACACTGTCTTCTGCCGAGCGCAACTACGCTCAGATAGACAGGGAGGCTCTGGCTGTTGTTGCTGGAATTAAAAAATTCAACGATTTTCTATATGGCAGGCATTTCACGGTCTTCACTGACCATAAGCCTCTGCTGGGACTGTGTACCACACGTAAGCAGACTCCCCACATCATTTCCCCTAGAATGCTTAGGTGGTCTATTTTTTTGTCTGCATATGATTTTTCATTACTCCACAAGCCTGGGAAAGAAATGGGCCATGCTGATGGCCTCAGTAGGTTGCCCCTGCCAGTAGTAGAAGCTGACCCGCGCCAGCTGTCAACATTCTATCAATCCAAGCCTTGCCCGAGCCCCCTCTTAGTGCCAGGGATGTTACCGCTGAAACAGGTACAGATCACACACTTTCACGTGTCCGCTCCTGGGTCCTGTCCGGGTGGCCTGAGCACTGCCCTAGTCCTGAGTTTCAGAGTTTCTGGTCCAAAAGAAACGAACTGTCCCTTTCTCAGGGTTGTCTGCTTTGGGGAAACAGAGTTGTCATTCCCACATCAATGAGGACTAGGGTCTTAGAATCCCTCCACGAGGGTCATCCTGGCATTGTTCGTATGAAGGCTCTTGCACGCAGCCACTTGTGGTGGCCTGCTTTAGATAAAGATATTGAGGCTAAGGTACACGCATGCCACATGTGCCAACGATCTCGACCAGAGATGCCCCAAGCTCCTGTGCATAAATGGGAGGAAACACAGTCCCCATGGTCTAGGGTGCACATTGACTACGCTGGGCCCTTTCAGGGCCAGTTTTTCTTGGTCCTTGTTGACAGCCATTCAAAATGGCTTGAGGTTGTGCCTGTCTCATCCACCACCACTGCAAAGACTATTCAGGTACTGAGGGGGATTTTTGCTGCACACGGGCTGCCAGATGTCATTGTGTCCGACAACGGCCCTCAATTTAACCTCATCGAATTCCAAGCTTTCTTACAGGCAAACCTGATTCGCATCCACGGTCTGCGCCTTTTCACCCGTCCACCAACGTGTATGCTCGAACGCATGGTGCGCATCGCAAAGGACGCCTTGAAGAGACTCACCTACGGGGACTGGCATCACAGGTTGGCTGACTTTCTCCTTTCTTATCGCACCACACCGTCCAATTCTACAGGGAGAAGTCCAGCTGAACTTCGTTGGGGGCGCCAACTTACTACTAGACTTGACCGGTTGCATCAGGACAGACTGCCTTCATCTACCTCACATCCTAGGGCACCTAGACAACTCCTTGTGGGTGCCCCGGTTTGGGCTCGCAATTACGGGCCTGGTCATACATGGGTCCACGCTTCTGTGTCCAGGATCACAGGTCCTCTCTCCTACGAGGTTGCCCTGGACAACGGTCGTGTCCTACGTCGGCACATCGACCAACTTCGCTCTAGGCGAGACTTTTCTGCTGAGACTCCTGGGTCTTTTCCAGGGGGGGAGGGGGACCCTTTGGAGCAAAGGGAAGGGCCACGAGCTGCGCACTCCACTGGAGGGATCCACAAACGGCCCATCCCACGGGTTCCGCGGAGAGCTCCGAACAAGAATTCTATGAGCCTACCTAATTACCAGGCATCCACGCCTACTCCAGCCAGGGAGTCACCCCGGGGGCATACTCACGTTCCACACACATCACACAGCACTCCAGTCACGGAGGATACCCGGGGGCATCCCAACAAATCATTCCCCGCAAGAGAGCTGGCACACAATTCCCAAGGTTGGCCTGACCTTACCCCAAATCATACAGGGGGTCAAACATACACAGAGTTAGTCGAGGAACCAAGTCCCGACTACAACAACCCTAGCACAAATCAGGGAACACCTGAATTTTGGGAAAGTACAGAAACCCACACGAGCCCGAGCACAGAATGGGGTTCAGGGAATGGACAGCCTCCTGACAGGTCTTGGACTGACCTAGGAGGTTCTACAGAGACGCCCAGCAGCGGCTATCACTTCAAGGGGCCTGAGGGTCTACAGCTAGGTAGGTCAACCAGGTCACAAAGTAACAGAAGCCCTGGCCTGACGAGCCCGGTGGGCAAGCAAGCAGGCCAGGCATCGGGGCACAGTCCTTGGAAGACACCAGGGCACAATAGAGAGAACAGGCTCACGCCTCCCTCCAGTCAGGGGACTTATGCCAGTAATCCAGAGCTAAGAAGGTCACAGAGAGCAAAGAAATCTCCCAAGTACCTAGAAGACTACATAACATTGCTGGCAAGGCAAAGGCCAGTAAACAGTGGGAGCACTGGGGAGCAAAATGTCATATAAAATAAATGTTGTATGTTGGTAGTAGTTTTAGCCCGGGGGAAAGGGGTGTTATGTCCCGAGCCTTTGCAAACGGCTCGGGCGTTTGCAGACAGTCCCGGGCAGGTGCAAAGCTGCCCGGGACCAGACAGGCTGTCGCCAGCGCCGTGCGCATGCGCGGGTGCTGGCGCGGGAAAAGTAACCCATTTACCCGGGAGTTGCCTATATAAGAGGCTGCGAGGCGTTTGGGCGAGGCTGAAGCCATCTTCCTGTAAGCTGAACGCTGAATAAAAGAAACTGAGAACTCCAGCTGCTTCTCGTGTCTGTTTTCCGCCAAGGACGCAACAATAGGTGTGTGTGTGTGTGTGTGTGTTGTGTATGTGTGTGTTGTGTGTGTATATGTACACGTTTAAAAATAAAAGTAAAAATATGACTCTTGGGAATATCCATACTATTAAAACAATGATCCACCAAGAGAATGCTTTAAGAGAATAAAATTACATACACACACAAGGTAAAAAAAGGATATATGCAGTGTTATCTTCATTTTAGATGTCAAAAGGGTCTCTCTCTCTCTCTCTCTCCCTCCCTCCCTCCCTCTCTATTTGCCCTTGGTCTGCCACTCCTCTTCCCCACTCTTTCTTTCTCTCTCTCTTTCCTCTCTCTCTCTCTCTCTCTCTCTCTTCTCTCCCCCTCCCTCTCTCTCTCTCTCTCTCTCTTCTTTCTCCCCCCCCTCCTATCTGCTGCTCACCTGGCAAGCTTCAAGCTGTTGTCCAACAAGCTCGGGTAGGCAACCTCGTCTCTTTTATGACTCATGGACTTCAACTCCCAGAATTCCTGAGTCAGCCTAGCTGGGCTAGCTAGCTCTCTCCTGCCCTTCCTGCTTCCTGCTTCCTGCAGAGATGCAGCAAAGGGAGGAGCTCCGCCCAGGAAGCTTTTCGGCTCCTCGGAGAACACTGTGAGTGCACTCTCTTTTACACATACACACACACAAAAAAAACACACACAGACACACACACACACACACACACAGAGAGAGAGAGAGGGGGGGGGCAGGGAAGCGCAATTGCCTCTCTCTGTCTCTTTCTCTCTCTGCAAAGGCAGAGGAGGCTGGGAGCCACAGGGGAAGGCTCAAAGAGCCGCATGCGGCTCCGGAGCCGCAGGTTGCCGACCTGTGGACTAGACAATTCCAAAATAAGAAAATATACAATTATACATATTTCATTCCCGAAAATACCTCTTCCAGATGTGTAGACAGTTTGGATTTTGAGACAATATTGCCTCCAGAATTAAAACTGAGGAAAGGACACATCAACCTCATTTTCCAAGGAGTTTCATTCAGAGCACACATTCCCCCAATGTGTCTTTGGCAGTTTGAATATTTAGGATTATCCTAAATTTCCATTTCCATCCTTCCACCATGAAACTAAAAGACTACATTCCGTTCCAATGAAGCCAAATCATCTTATAAATAGGCATAGGGTAATTGGATTTTTTTTTTTCTTATAACACACTTTTTGAAACCCAGAATAAAACATCCTGAAGTTCTCTTTAGAAATCAATCAATCTTCATTGACTAATCCAGGATCTGGGACTCAGTCAAGTTGAAGAACTGCTCTGAATAAAGGAAGGTTCTTGTTTGGCTTCAGATTCACTTCCTCTCACTGTGCCTCTTGCACAGTAATAGACAGCCGTGTCTTCACCTTTGAGGCTGCTCATTTGAAGATACAGCTGGCTTTTGTCATCATCCCTGGAGATGGTGAAGCGTCCCTTCACTTTGTCTGAGTAGTAAGTGATAGATGAACCCATGTGTGCAACCCATTCCAGTCCTTTCTCTGGAAACTGTCTCCCCCAGCTCATGCTAAAGCTGCTGAAAGGGAATCCAGAGGCTTGGCAGGAGAGACGGAGGGACCCTCCAGGTCTTTGCAGATCTCCTCCAGACTCCACCAACTGGACTTGAGACTGGACTCCTAAAAAGAAAGTTTTTTTTTTTTTAATGAGATCTCCTGCATAGAGGAGCAGAACATGGTAATAAACTCTACGTAGGGGAAAACAATTACCTTTGAGGATTATCAATAAGGACACAATGTTTAGCCACATTTTTGCTCACTCAAAGGATTTGGCAACTAGCAAAAGGTTTATGCTGATGGGAGTTGTCTGAAAAGGGAAAATGTGGGGCTCCTTTGAAGGAGAAATTGTGTCTTGATTTACATATCTGTTCAGATAAAAGAGCTTCATATGACATTGACTAACACATTTTGGTGAACATACTTTCCATGTGTGTTTTTCAATTAATAATCAAACCCTAAGAAAAAAGTAGGGACTCATTGTTTTTTTTATGAGTTTACTGTATATTCAATAAAACAAAGTCTTGCAAAATTTCAACACTTCTCAAAGTGATGCAAGTTCTTTTGAGTTCCACTGAGGAAAACTTTGAAATCTTCTTGTTTGGTGTATATATTAGTATCTATATTGTTTTAAGTGTTTTATATGTTCACTGAGTGTGATAATATAATCCTTTCATGTGCTGTCCATTTCCAGAAAAGATTTGAAATACCTAGATAAATTTTCTGGGATCAAAAACCCAAACTCTGTTTTTAATAACATTTCTCAGTTTCATATTGAAACCTTCTGTGTTGTAAAATTTTCTTGAGAACTTTTATATACAGAAATCAAATAAAAAAGGTATCTGGCCTCCAAAATGAGACACTATATAATGACATTTGTTTTATTCCCTTCCCCACCGCCACCAGGTGCATAGAAAATGGGATTTCATGTAGCAACATTGCCCCCCAGTGTCAAAAATTTGGAGGGGAAGCCTGTTCTTAATTCTCCAAGGAGATTCTTTGGGTCCAGATGTTTCGTCAATACATGAATTGCAGTTTGGATGTGTGTAAGGTTACTCTGACATTGCATTTCCAGATTCTAAAGGTCAATATTCCATTCCATTTTTTTCTGAAGATAGATCACCTTATAAAGATGAAACTGGACTTTTCAAGCCACTTTCATCATCTTACATTTTCTTACAGAAAACTGTATGATACCCAAGAAGAAAACATCCTGAAGTTCTCACTAGACATCGATCAATCCTCATTGACCAATCCGTGGTCTGTGGCTCTGCCAAGCTGAAGAACTGCTCTGAAGAAAGGAAGATTCTTCTTTGGCTTCAGATTCACTTCCTGTCACTGTGTCTCTCATACAGTAGTAGACTGTTGTGTCCTCTGGTTTGAGGCTGTTCATTCGGAGATACAGCTGGCTTTTGGCATCATCTCTGGAGATGGTGAAGCATCCCTTCACTTTGTCTGATTATTAAATGCAAGATGTACTCATGCCTGCAACCCATTCCAGTCCTTTTCCTGGAGCTTGTCTCACCCAGTGCTTGTCATGGTTGCTGAAGGTGAATCTAGATCCTTGGCAAGAGAGATGGAGGGACCCTCCAGGCCTTCTCAAATCCCTTCCAGACTCCAAAAACTGGACTTGAGACTGGACTTCTATTTTTTTTAATGAGATCTCCTGCATACAAGAGCAGAAAATGAAATAAATTTTACTTAGTGAAAATAATTACCTTTGAGGACTACTAGCAAGGACGCAAGGTTTAGCCACAGTTTTGCTCACTCTAATGCATGGAGGGAATTGACAGGGGAAAATGCAGGAAATTGCCCAAGGTTTATCTTGGTGGAATTTGTCTGAAAAGGGAAACTATGGGGCTCCTTTAAAGGGGAAATTGTGTCCTGATTTACATATTTATTGAGATAAAAGATCTCCTTAGGGCATTGACTAATACATTTGTGTGAGCATCACTTCTATGTGCATTTTGTAATTAACATTCCAATCCTAAGAAAATGGTTCAGACCCATTTTTTTTCCCACTGTGAGTTAGGAGAAAGGGACAGTTTGCAAATACATTTCAGTGAACTTCCATTTGTGTTTTTCAATTAAAGTCCCAGCCCTATAAAAAGAGTTGGGACCCATTGTTTTCCTATGAGTTTATTGTACATTCAGTAAAACAAAGGCTTACAAAATTTCAATACGTCTCAAAGTGATGCAAGAGAATAGAGAATAAACGTTATTGGACAACCCTTTGTGTGAAATAGAATACGGTCTCCTCCTTGAATGGGGGGTTGGACTAGAAGATTTCCAAGGTCCCTTCCAACTCTGTTATCCTCCTCATCCTCCCCCTCCCCCCTCCTCCTCCTTTTTAAAGAAGAGACTGGACAATTATTTGCTGGAATGGTATATAGTCTCCTGTTTGAGTAGGGAGATGGACTAGACACTTCCAAAATTAGAAAATATACAATTATACATATTTTATTCTCGAAAATACCTCTTCCGGATGCATAGACATTTGGATTTTGAGACAACATTGCCTCCAGAATCCAAACTGAGGAGAGGACACATCAACCTCATTTTCCAAGGAGTTTCATTCAGGGCACACATTTCCCCAATGTGTGTTTGGCAGTTTGAATATTTAGGAGATTTATCCTAAAGTTCCATTTCCATCCTTCCACCATGATACTAAAAGACTACATTACCTTCCAATGAAGCCAAATCACCTTGTAAATAGGGACAGGGTATTTGGATTTTTTTTGTTTTCTTACAACACACTTTTTGAAACCCAGAACAAAACATTCTGAAGTTCTCATTAGAAATCAATCAATCTTCATTGACTAATCCAGGATCTGGGACTCAGTCAAGTTGAAGAACTGCTCTGCAGAAAGGAAGGTTTTTGTTTAGCTTCAGATTCAATTCTTCTCACTGTGACTCTCTCGCACAGTAATAGACTGCCGTGTCTTCAGCTTTGAGGCTGCTCATTTGCAGATACAGCTGGCTTTTGGCATCGTCTCTGGAGATGGTGAAGCGGTCCTTCACTTTGTCTGAGTAGTAAGTGCTAGATGTACCCATGCGTGCAACCCATTCCAGTCCTTTCCCTGGAGCCTGTCTCACCCAGCCCATCCAATAGCTGCTGAAGGTGAATCCAGAGGCTTGGCAGGAGAGACGGAGGGACCCTCCAGGTCTTCGCACATCTCCTCCAGACTCCACCAACTGCACTTGAGACTGGACTCCTAAAAGGAATATTTTTTTTTAATGAGATCTCCTGCATCTAAGAGCAGAATTTGGAAATAAAACATATAGTGGAAATCATTACCTTTGAGGACTACTAGTAAGGACACAAGGTTTAGTAACATTTTTGATTGCTCTAATGAATGGAAGGAAGTGATAGGAGAAAATTAAGGAAATATCACAAGGTTTATGCTTCTGGGTGTTGTCTTAAAAGGGAAACCACGGGGCTCCTTTAAAGGGGAAATTGTGCCTTGATTTACATATCTGTTGGGATAAAAGAGCCCCTCAGCGCATTGACAAGCACACTTGTGTAAACATCATTTCCATGTGCATTTTGTAATTAATATTCTAGTCCTAAGAAAAGGGTTGTGACCATTTTTTTGTGAGTTAATAGGAATGCTGCACATTAACTAACAGAAAAGACTGAAAAATTTCAGCCCTTCTCAAAATGATTCAAGGTAACAGAGATGAAACTAATTTACTTATTAGAGAACATATAAAAAGGCTAGCACATCAGACTACAAGACAGCCTCCTTACCCTTCCTTTGTTTTATGGAAAATAAATGGCAGCTAAACTTCAAGGAACATTGTGTCATTAGAATAGTTGGGCCACTCAACTCACCAAATCAAATTTAAGTCACATTGTGACCAAATACACCCTCTTATTTGAAACAAAATGATAAATAATTCTCTTCGTATTATCCAAAACATTTTGTTTGTGCCCAGTGTCAAAAGTGAGGAGGGGAAGCATGTTCCTAATTCTCCAAGAATTTTGTATTAGTGCAGGTGTTTCCTCCATATGTGAATGGCAGTTTGGATATTTAGGAGGTTCACCGTGAGACTAATTTCCAGACTTCTGCTGTGATATTGAAGGACAATATTCCATTCCTTGTATTTTTTTTCCCTCAAGATAGATCACCTTATAAACAGGGAAGATGAAATAGGAATTTTTAAGCCATTTTCATCATCCTACATTTTCTTACAGCAAACTCTCTGATACCCAGAATAAAATATTCTGAAGTTCTCCCTAGACATATATCAATCCTCATTGACTAATCCAGTGAAGTTGAAGAGTGCTCTGAAGAAAGGAAGGTTCTTGTCTGGCTTCAGTTTCACTTCTCTCAGTGTGTGTCTCGTACAGTAATAGACTGCGGTGTCCTCTGGTTTGAGGCTGTTCATTTGCAGATACAGCTGGCTTTTGGCATTGTCCCTGGAGATGGTGAAGCGTCCCTTCACTTTGTCGGAGTAGAACTAAAAAAATCCCACCAGATTCACTCGGACACAACTCATTTTCTACCACTAAAGTTTTGTCTCATGAATCAGGAAGTGCGAGGAATTTTTGTTTTTCCTCAGACAAGGTCCACAGCCTGGAAAAGTTTGAAAAACCCTGGTCTAGATCACTGTGTGTTGCAAAAAAAAAACAAAAAAACCCAGCAATCTGGAGAACACGTTGGCCATCTTTACTTTTTACCTGGGCAGAAAGTGGCAAGGGTTTTTTATCTACAAGGTGGATTTGGGTGTAGGAGCCTTCCCCGTTCCAGAAACTTCCCAAATTGGAGTATCCCAGGGTACCACCAGGTAACACACAATACTCAACATCTGTCAGACACTGCATGAACTACAAACTTAGGGGTGCCATGAAAAAAATGTCTTACTGAAACACTTAAGGATAGTGTGAACCAAGACATTTTGGAAACTTTCAAACACCGTGGCACAGTGGACGGTGACTGTTTCAAGAGCCATCACAATTGCACAAAAACCTTCTGTAGATGAATTGTCTCAGATGGTGGATCTGAAGCGTGTCCGTAATCTTTACAATACGTAATCTTTACAATAGTTCTACCAGAACCAGAGCTTATGTATGCCACCCATTCCAGGCCTTTCCCTGGAGCCTGTCTCACCCAGTTCATGTCATAGCTGCTGAAATGAATTCCAGAGGGTTGGCAGGTGAGACAGAGGGACCCTCCAGGGCTTCTCACATCCCCTCCAGACTCCACCAACTGAGATTGGACTTGAGACTGGACTCCTAAAAAGAAAATATTTTTTTAATGAGATCTCCCGCTTAGAGGAGCAGAACGTGGAAATA